GTGATGGAGAGTATGACTATACACTAACATAGTAAATGTTTTGGGTGGATTTAAAAAATTTTCTTCATTATATTCATGACAATTCTCTAGCTTTGGTATTGTAATATCATTTGCAAGAGAATTTGGATAACTTTTTAGAATATTTATTCCTAAGGATTTTAATAATTCTGATTGTTTGAGGTATTTTTTAACAAGTTCTCTTTCGCTAAGTGGTTCAAGACTCATAGTATAGAATATGCTGAGCTGGTTTATGAAGAAAAAATTTTCTTATCATTTTACTCTTATTTGACTATATACTATTTTCACATTGTCTAGGATTATTTGCTAGATAAGAGCAAACGGATATAATATCCAAATCAGTACAATTACCTGAATTTTAGTCAGATAAGTATTTGCAATTTATTATTAACTTATCCTGTTATATAATATACTTCTCGTTATTAACAAACCAAATTTAGATACTATAAAAACTAATTTCAGATTTGGCGATCTGTTTATTCACAAATTAATTAGTATGAGAGGATTGCTAGATCTTTGATAGCAATCATGAAGAAAAGAGGGCATACACTTCATAAATTTTTATTTCACATCGACACTTTTCTACTTGTGTTAAAAATCTTCCGAATTATCTTGAATTTTCAAGTTTATTAGCATTTTGATAAAACCGATCTTGAGCATGTTTCATTAATAGTTTACCTAGTTAATAAAGCTATTTCTTCACTCCTCGCTAGATTATTATAGCTAAATTTATTCATTTTTTCCATAAACAATATCCTCACTGGATGATAATAGCCGATCGATTTTTTATATACAAAGTTTTAAAATATACTACTTGGATTAAAAATTCTCTAAATTCAGAGTTATTAACTATGGATTCATTTCTGGTTAGATTATTTTTAATACAGAATACAAAGTTTTCCTAATGGTCCTTACTAATAATATCATATCCTAGTATTAATAAACGTCTACGTATATATTTGGGCAGATAATACTTCGCAAATCGTAACCAAGCTTCTGGCGTTTTAAAATTATTGATATAGTTTAAACTATATTTGGTTAATATATATCGGGTATAATTATTTTTTGTCTATTCTTTACAAATATCTTGAATATTGGGCATGTTTATATTTTGATTTTATTAACTAAGACTCTTTATTTAATAAGTATGAGCCAGGATCACTAGATCTTTGGTGGCAGTTGCAGACGATTTTTAGTTTATGGGTAAGTGTGGTTAGTGAGTTGGTTTGCATATATAACTTTACTTAAAAAATATCTAATAAATCTAATTATTGTAAAGCAGGTCCAAAGCGTTAAAGCTAGATTATAGTGAATGAATAAATAAGTTATGAACTAATCTAAATACTCCCATATAAGTTATAGATATCCTCAATTTCAGAAGTATTCTCATTAATTGCCTTGGGTGTGGGAGCTAGGGCTTCAGGTTCAGATTCTAGATCTGAGTCAAGGTTAGAATCAGAAGTATCACCCTCAGCATAATATATTTCAGAATTATGATGATCTATCTTATGCCTCATTGCAACTCTGCTAAGAAATTCGAGATGTTGCGAAGTTAAATTTTGACCACCATGAACTCTAGAAGCATGTTTACCTCCAATTTTTCTTAATCTTTTGGCTATAATACTATATAATTTTAAAATTTTACTAAATACTCCTGTACTGTATTTTCCATTAATACTATAGACAGGATTGCGTAACTTTCTAGTTGCTATTGCATCTTGGATCCAGGTAAGCAATTCTTTTGCACGTTCTGGATTCTTTTCCATGGATAGAAATTGCTGAGGTTCGAGATTATTTTTTGCTTCTCCTTTATTTTTAATATATCTGATACAATACCAAAAATAACCAGGCTTGTACCATTCAGGAGGATTCGATTCACCAGGTTCATAATGGATAATATAAAGAGTAGCAACTTCGGCGGGTCTTATACTCAATATCATAATTACATCTACAAAATCTTGCATAATAGAGATTTTAGTAGTATTGATATTTTGAATTTTTTTAAGTCCTTCCTCTAAGGAAAAGTGTTTGGGAGTTTTAGATAGATTGAGTAATTGCTGTTCGAGTTGCCTCTTTTGAATTTCATTAGAAGCTTGAGTAACTTTTGGTAATTTGGCATATATATAAATTTGCTCAGAACCAACCCCAGCTTCTGCTAACTCTCTACGAAATTGTAAAACATGAGAACTGGCTGCCACAATTGCTTCATCTATATTATTTTTTGGCACAGCTAAATCTAAAGTATGTAACCAAATATCCCACACATCTTTAGTTTTTGCACAATATTGAGCTCTTTTTTTGATAGTAAGCCTTTTCTTTTTGTTGTTTGGAATTAGAGCTTCTATTTGATTTTCTTTGAATAAGCACCGACGGAGAGCCTCTTTCACATCTTTACGAGTCTTCCAATCTGGTAGTATAGTACTAAGCTCATCAACATGAGCATATAATTGAAGCAGATTTGATTCGGCCAATAGGTTATATTTATTGAGGACC